TATTAATGAGCCAAATAAGTGGCCATGTGGTAAGCAGTCATTTCCAATTAACTCTTAATGTGGCTGGTATGGTAGATAGAGGCCAATGTGAGTCACTTTTTCCTTTTCATTGTCAAAGAATGGTAATTTTAAACTTTTCCTTTCATCTGACTTCAATGTATTTTTCCCTGCTAGATTTTATCTTGACTAGATCTGTTAATATCATAAGTGAATTGGGCTGGTGCATGTCTTCAGAGGTTCTTTTCTACCCCAGCTTACAAGCAGCCCTCAGCATGCTGATGTTTTATGGTTGAAATGTGGTACAGTTTTGTAAGGGAAAAAATGAACCTTCTCACTTTGAACCTGTTGTAGTTTTATCAGGCCAAAATTGCTTTGGCAGTATTTCCTAACCTTTAGGGAGTGACAGGAAAATGCATTTTGCATCCAATTTTCTTAGTCATAGCAGGTGGGCCTTAAAGCAACAGTGCTATTTAGTTTCTGTCCCACAGACTTCTAAACAGCAGAACCCTTGAGGAGAAAAGGGCAGTTTGGAGTTTCTTGTTTGGCAGTTTGTTGTGTTGCATGTTTTTTAACATCAAAGCATAACAGTAGTTTGAGACCAGTTTCATCCATTTGGAGTAAAGTCTGGATTGAAAATCTCACAATGATTCATCAATGAACAGAATTTTGACACAAGCAGTCTTCTTCTGGGGCACCCACCTTGCAGTCTGGCATGTTCAGCCTACACTCCCTGATGCTTTCCAAGAGAGAACTTGCAGCAGATGAGTAAGTCTGGCTTGGGCATCTGTTGTGTCTGTTCTTCTTTTAGTACACTCTTCATCTATATTTAACAACCTTTGCCTTTTTAATTTAAACTCTTACCAACTGTAGTACTGAGGTGCTGGCATCAGCTTTTTGGTTGAAGTTATGGTCGGAGCATTTCATGCTTCCCATTGTTCAAGGAGGGATGGGAGAGATGACAGCTGAGCTGTGATACTGCTCAGTGCTGTGGGGATCCTGTTTCTGTCCTCCATCAGTCACACTGGAGGATGGTGGACATCAGCTGCTCAGGTCCTACTTGTTTCAGGTCCTACAAAGGCTTGTTTAGGCACCTCTTGTCCTTGACTATGTGAGGAAAGATGAAGCTTGTTCCCACAAACATTTTCCTGTATAGGCATACAGGGATCCTAAATGCTCAGCCTTATCAGAAGTTCCCTAAACCAATTTTAGCTGGCAAAAGACACATCTCTGAAAGCTTACTCAGCCTATTGCCAGCAAAGTCCTTGAAGTATATTGAAGTACATTTCTGTACTACTTATATAAATCAGCTGCCTCAGCTACAAATATTATTAAATATTTGCATGATTTCAAAAGCTGGGGGTTTTAAAATTACTTTGTTGTAAACAAAGAGAAATGCAAATGGCACAACACAGACTTACTCATTCTTTTCCAACCTAAGTGCTTCAATAGTGCTTGTCATTGTCAGCCAGGACATTATTTTTTGATCCAATACCTGCTATGTGTAGTCCACAAGCAACTCTAAAAGAAATGTTGATGGGCAATCTTGTACTTGGATATAGCACAGAAATCTGTAGGGAAAATTCAGCAGAGCTAACTGCCAATGCTGCATTTCCAACAGCTGACTTCCCACTGGTCTCCTGGGAGGAGATGATGACTGAATTAGCTGTTGTCAGCCTCGCTAACAGTTTGTGGTCTGTGTGCTCAGAAAGTGGAATCATGAGGCTGATCTCTGCTCTAGCAGCTCTCTTGCATCACTGAGGGAGGTCTGAGTTAAATTTTGCTGCTTGTCTTAGTGGATGAAAAAATGCTACGGTGGCAGCCACTGCAGGTAATAAAGGCCTGCATGGCATTGCAGGAGCAAATTCCTGAGCTGGCCATGAGAGGAAGGACTGTATGAAAACAGCCTTTGACCACCATTCTACAAAATGAATATAAAGATGCTGATGTATACTTCAAGGCATATCGAGTTTGGGATAGGTTTTGATGCCAGTAAGAGAAAGGCTGCAAGGCCAGAACCAAAAAAGTAATTGTCCCCAGCTCACTCTTAGCCTTCTGGAGTGGTTTTCTTGTAGGATCTGGTGCTAAGGGAGCTATAGATGCCATCTAAGTTCTTAGAGAGAAGGACATTATACATGCAGCTGCTTCCAGGGACTGGGGATTTGAGGAAGGGAACAGATGGCTGTGGGGCAAAACAAGATGGAGGTATTAACCATAAATAAACTATTGTTAGATTATGAAACAAAACAGTGCACAGGTCAAAAAATAGCAGTGTTTATATAAATATTTAAATTAATTAAATTTAGTCAGTGTTTTTGGAGTAATCTTAGATTACAGTTCCATTGGTTTCTCTCAGTTGTTTTTTGGCTGGCATTTCTTTGAAGTTTTGTTGCCTGTTCTTTCTGTGCACCCTCACTAAGAGTTTCCCACATGCTTTAACAACAGGACTTTGCCTTCGGAGAGTGAACTGGAAATCACTGAAAATAGGAGCTTCCACTGGAGAATTCCAGCACTATATAACAGCAAGGGAAGGACTGCCACTGATTCTCAGTGGTTGGACAGTCAGTTCCAGGTATCTCAGGGGTAGTGTTCCTTGATTAGGCAGGGAGGCAGAAAGAGGAATGCTTCCCACAAACTGTTTCCATGTCCCCTGACTTAGACAGTGGCTGAGGAAGAACAAGTGATGTGTCTAGAAAAGGATGCTCAGCCCCTCTGGTGCACCTGGCAGCCAGTCCTTTAGGGGCTTCCTGAGGCCAAAGCTGTATCCTGCTCACTGTATGTAGTACCTCCTGATGGATCCATCTTCCATGAATCACATTACCTTCTCTTTAGAAGCCATTTATTCCTCTGGCCTTCACAATTTCCTGTGCTGGTGAGTTCCATAACTTATAGATGTAATGTATAAGAACTTCCTTTTTGTGTATGTTAAATAAAAGTATTTTCTTGCTTCTGCTTGGTCTTTAAAAGAAAACAAATTTGTAGTGCCAGAAACATTGGTAATAGGATGTTTGTCCTGTTGAGGTTGCTCCATATGGATAATATATTTTCCTCACTAGTAAAGTACCTTTCTTTGGTTATTTTACAAAGGAAAAAGTTTACACATGCAGATGACTGTAATATTCCCATATGTTATTGTGTGGAATGTGGTAAATGAGGTAACATGTTTAAGTTTTCTGTCACTGGATTCTACTGTCCTGTTTTACTGCAGTATTGTGGTGCCTCCCGTTTTATTTGTTCTGTAATTCTGTACCTGACAGTTTAGCACAAAACAGTGATCTGAATCTAACCAACTCATTGTATGTACACATTTTGTAGAAAAATGAGACATCAGTTATGTGCCCTTCCTGCCCCCAACCCCTCCTATTAGGGCTGAATGGCAGAATTATTCTATGCTATTGAAAGCCTTTTAAAAAAAAATCTATGCATGCTATTTTATATTCTAATGTATTATTCATATCAGTACATAAGCTTATGCTTGTCAGTTTTATCTTGTGTATAGAACTGATTACTTTTGACAGTATTTTTGCACTGTTTCTTTTCTTTCTCTTTTTATAATAAAAAGTTCTATCATCATTAATTGACTGCAATAACTTTTTTTTACCCCTTTCACTGCCTTTGTGTAAATAGTTTCTTACATGCTTTTGCAAATGTGAGAATGTCTTCAGTCACTAAGGTTTTTTTGGTAAGGCTGTCCCTTATATTCACAGTATACAATAAACCATTTTTTTCAAGGAAAATAATGTTTGTGTTCTTTTCTATATCAGCTTAACAGTTTTGTATTTGCACCTACACTGCTTGAGTTTGTTTCCCGTGTTAAACTGATAGGCACAGCCAGGGCCACAGTGAGCTCTGAATAACCCTCTGTAAATAGTAATCCAAGTTTCACAGGGGCAAGGCTCCCACTGGTGCCTCATGTTCAGCTAATCCAATTCTTTGGTGTTGAAGTGTGGTGTGGTCTCTGGACAGACTTGCTGAAGTAAAGCTATTATTTCCCAGGACAAGAGTTTATTTGACAAGACAATGTTAGGATAAAAACAGTCAGCTAGTGCCCTCTTCCAAGGCTTGGCTGTAGTTAAATGGCTTTGGTTTTCTGGAACTGTAGATCTGGTGCAGTTTTATGTACTCCAGCAACAACTACTGGCTGGAGAGCAATGAAAGATTTCAGCAAAATGAGCTGACAAACCCTTGTTCTAGCAGTTTTACTTTCAGAGCAGTGCTTGCAAGAAAGAAAATACAATGAAGTTCTTAAGAGTGATGTGTTTTTTCTCATCATACTTTGTAAACTGTGAAAACAGTAAAGAGGCAGGTAATTTTACTGTGCACCATATTTCAATTTTGATGCTAGAAGTTTATAGCTGCACTCTTTTTTTCCCCATCCTTAAAAAGCACACTCTTGCCAGTGACCTAAATGGAGGGGAAAAAAATCCTCTTGTTTTGTGTATGGGTAGAGAAAGCTAAGTCCTGGACTTTTTCCTCAGAAAGTGTTCCTGTCTGTCTCTTAAAAATAACTGCTAACATATTATTTACAATAGTTGTAATCCACTGGAGGTGAAGGTATGGCTGTAAGGAAATATGAGCTCTCCTCTGCAATAACTCACTTTAACTTGTAAAGGAGTCTAAAAAGCCAGAAGTTGCATAGTTCATGTCTTGTGCAAGCCTTCAAGCTCTGACATAGGTGTCAGTATTTTCTGTACAAGACAAATTGAGCTCTAGGTCTTTGCTGTAATGAATCCTCATCTGCCACGAGCAGTGATGGACCTGCAGATTAATTGGTTGAGGGAACATTGGTAGCATTGCTGTAAAATGTACATAATTCATCACCCCATTTCCCCTCTCTCTCAGTTAAGCCACTTCAAATAAAAATGATGCAAGCAAAAAGGAGACAGGTACCAAACCACAACAGAAAAAGTAGGGATTTTGCTAATTTTTCAGATTAAGCAAAACTATTTGGGCAAAAGTACATATCACAAAACTATTCCATTCACTTAAGTGTACAAGTGGAATCAAGAGGGGCCAAGACCACTTTATTTACTTTACACAAATAAGATCCACACCAACACCCCTAAAGAAAAAGATGGCCATTTCTGCACATGAGCCATCAAAAGGCATAACCTTTAAGAAACCATGGATGCTTCCTTAAAAAGAAAAGGCAATTGTAGATGTGTGGAAGCTAGGCCTACGTGTGTTTGTCATTCCAATTATAGGACAGAACTGTGTTCATACTCTACCGCTTTTCAAAGCGCTCTTGAAGGTTTCCATAACAAGGCTTTTTAAATAAAGGTTTGAAGAATTGCATAGATTCAAAGGCTCAGTGGTCCTCTAATTCCTTTTTGATCTCTGAAATGTATGGATGATCTTTCCCATGTGCTACTTCCATGATAGCAATTGCCTATGAAAAGAAAAAAAAAATATTCACACAATTGATTCATATATAACACCAGGCTATAAATACTCTCTTTAGAGGTTTGAAGCAGTCTGACACCTCTAGCTACTTTTTGTCCCCTTGTAGTCATAAACCCAGTAGGAAATAAAATGAAATTCAAAACTAAGTAATAAAGGTTTTATATTCAGAGAATACATCTTTGATCTTAAAGGAGCCCAAAGCACCTTTCAAAATTATATTCCTGACAAAACTACTTTGAATGCAACCAGCTCCAGGACAGAAAACTGCAAGTGCGGTGGGGTAATATTCCAGCAGAGGACTTAGCCAGTATCAGAGCAAGCCCTGCTCCTACCAATTCATCCTTGAGCTGTCACAGACATGCAGGCCTAGTGCAGGAGTAATGCTGAGGCATTTCAAACTTGAGTCTATAAACACTCTGCTCCTTCCAGGGGCTGCCAAGGAAGGAAGCAACTTCTTAGGCAGAAGTGAGATCCTGTAAGATTTGGACAGATGCTGCCGTGCCCAGCTCCCTGGTGTTTCACCTGCAGCCTGCTCCAGGCCTGAGAGGGAATGTTGCAGGTAGCCAAACCCCTGACTGGCACCTTTCCTGTCCTGGAGTGTGTGCCACGGCAAGATTTCCACTGAGAAAAGAAGTAACAAAAGGTAACACTACACAGAACTGAGAAGAAAGTTCAATCTAAGTCTGAGAATGGTTAAAAACCGAGAGCTAAGACAGAGCAAGGAATTGCAGTATCCTGGCCCTCTGAGCATTGGTCATTTCATCCTTGGGAAACTTTTATGCTCTTGTATTTGTTAAGTCAGTACAGCAAGGCTTTTGGTTCCACCTCAGCAGCAATAAATTACTCCACCCCTCCTCCTGCCCAAAAAAGAAAGGAGAACCTTCTGTATGAGCTGCTCACAAACTGACAGAGAACAATGGGTTTGCTTTTCCATTAAATCCCAAACATCAGAGGCTGGGATAACTTTGGGCAGTTCCTGTAGACAGCTTTTGGAAGTGAGTCATTAGAAAATGTTTGTGTTAGGAAAATAACTATGCCAACAAATTTACCTCACAGTTCCCTACCCGCCATTCCATGCTCCTACTGGCACAATTCCCATTTCTACTCCAGGGTTTAACACTACGGTGAAGGAAAACCTATGCTAATTTCAAACTTGGTAACAGTAAAATTTTAGAGCATATATTCTTCTATATATAGAAGAATATTTTTCTTCTATATATATAAGAATATATGCTTCTATATTTTTCACCATGGTTGTTTGGTGTTGTTATTCACTGGCTAAAACTTGCCAGCATCTAAAAAGCAAGAAGAAATAAATACATTGTGACATTCCACACTGAGTCATTATATGCTACAGTAGTCACTGATGCTTAAGAAACTAAAATAAATTGCTGTCCAACAACAATAGGGGAAAATAGTCAAGAAACATAGTATAGGCTAATAAAAAATAGCAGGATAAAAAACTAAAGAATAAGGCACAGACTAATAAAAAGGGGTGAAGTAAAACATGAAACCAAAATGCTATATTTGCAAATTTCAGCATTACCAGATGCATTGAATTTCCTTCAGCTATGTAAAAATCAATTGGTTCCAGAACAAATAACCACCAAAAGCATGCCTAGTTAAAGTTGGATATAGAAATCACAGACTTCAATGAAACACTATGTGCCTTTTATAAGAGCCAAGCATTTTTCCTGTCCTTACCCAGCAAATGAGGGGAAGATAGGGTTCTGCTTCATTTACACTAGTGCAGCTCTAGCTCAGTGAAGAACTGACAGCAAATGTTTAAGCATAATTCTCACTCCAGCTGCTGCAGTATGAGCCCACTGTGAAAAGGTACCCAAGAGCAGACCTATCCTCCATCTCTAGAAAAACCAAATCTGAGCCAAAAATCCCGTGACCAAATATATTAACACATGGTGCATTTCCTACTATGCCAGGATCACTGATAGAGAAGCACCCAGTGTTTCAACGACCCCACGGCCGAACTGGTGTTATTAATGGAGAAACCAGGCAATAAATACCCTCTTCAGGGCTTTAACTCCAGCCGTCCTGTTCTTCAGCGCCATGTACAGTCTCCCTAATTTCAGCCACATAGAGGCAACATTCAGCGAGTAGGAGGGATAATGTTTACTGCAAGAGAGAAAGAAATTCAGCTTCATCAACTTTGGCAGGTTTATAGCATTTTCCCAGTTCTGTCTCCCTCTCATGGGGCAAGAAGTTGCCTCTCAGTGCCCCTGCCCATTCAGCACTCATCCCCTCTGCCGTGACTGCCAAGAGCTCGTGCCAATTGTGTCTGGGATGGGAACGCCTGTCAGCTGGGAATTGGACTGAAACTACCATATGCCTCTGAACAGCTGTCAGATGGCAATGACTTTCTGCCACTAGTTTTAATCTAGCCAGCTACAGAGAGAGCCTGCATTGTTATGAGTTTTTGGAGCCACCCTGCACACGCAGCAGTGGCTCTGTGTGCTCCACAATGGTTGGTGGGCTGGAAAGCAAGGGGCCCTCTCCAGTGTGCAGGGCACACATGGCAGTCTGTGCTCGCACACACTGAGCGGGCAGAGCTGACCTGGAATGCCAGGCTCAGCGCCAGAGAAGCTGGGCAAGTCCCAGGGAAGATAAATAGTACTGAGCCCCCAGGGGGGGAATGTTGGCTTCTTCTTTGTATCACTGCTCACTGCCAAGTGATCTGTGACTTTATGTTGGCATCTGTTCCAAAGGGAGAGCTTTTCTTGCGCTCCCCTCAGCTGGCAAGAAAATCTCAAGACGAGAATCTGGGAGATTCACGGCAGGACCAGACACAGCCAGCGTAACTGCCTGGCTCTCATCAATGGGCTCACTACTGCAAAACCAGAATTTGATCAAAAACAGTATTCATATCTCCTGCAGAGGCTGTGTGCTGCCCTGCCCCACGCAGGGCTTCAGCCTGGGCATTCTCCCACGCCTCCAGCTCTACAGCAGCAGGATCCGGGACATGGGGCACTCGGAGCTTGGAGCGCAGGAGCTGAGCTCGGCTCCTGCTCCCTCTGCTGCTCTGCCCCAGCCCTGGGACACGGCTCCGCTCTCCTGCAGCCGTACCCGCTGTGCTGCTGCTGCAGCTAGAGAGTGCTGGGAGACTGCGTGAGGCTGACAGCAACACAGGCTTTGTCTCCATTACCTTGTACAAAATACTGGCTGCAGGTGAAGTTCGAAGCCCTTCTTTAGTAAATAATTACAGTATTTTAGAAACTGGCATTTATCCAGCTAAGCAGAATTAGCACAGCACCTAAGGTGGCACAAAATTATTTTGAGAACCCAAACCAAGGATTTCAAAGTCAGTCCTGCTATATATTGCAGACCACATTCTGATAGTAATAAACCCTGTCCCAGCACTTAAATATTCCTTTTTGAGCAGTGGTATCATGGGAAGAACGTTTATACAACATATACACTGAGAGAAGTGATCTCTGCACAAATGTGTCTTAATTGTTCAGATTATTAATTAGAGCATTTAAAAAAAAATAGTCTCTCATATTTACCTGTAGGGTCTGATGATTTTTTGCCCATAACACAGTGCACCTTCCCAGTCCTGCACATAGAGACAGACACCCATGGCCTGGTACATCATATGTAACATATAAACATTACTGTCCTCAAACACTGCACCCATCTTGTCCAGGCTGAGTTCACAGATCTCCAGTAATTCACTAGGGGGTAGGAAGAAGTCAAGGAACACAATAACTCGATGGCCTCTCATTATACAGTTAGCTGATAATGCCTTCAGACACAAAGAGGACAGAGATAAGTTTAATTTGTACTGGTCATAGTATTTTTCCTTCATGTACTTCTGAAGCCCAGCAGGCAAGATTTTTAGGGGGCACACCAGTGGAGTCAGGGTAAGACAAAGGATATATTTGTAGTGTTTGGCTCGCCTGAATTCCTCAATCACGTTCCTGGCATATTTGATCATGTCCTTTACTGTCTCTGCTGACGGAGGATCATTCAGCTTGCAGATTTCCAGTTTCTCTTTATCCTGAAGGAAACACAATGGACCTTACAAAGGTAGGTTCCAAGCCCTACAAATAAAAGTGCACCTGCTATATGAAATTTCTCTAATAAAAAGACACAGATGTGAACTTAAACTCTTCAAAGAATGAAAAAACAAAGGTAGAATGTGCACCTGCAATTTTTCTCTAAAGCCTTGGCTATAAATCCTAGGATCCTCTGGCCTTCCAGTTCATCTGCCATTCTCTACTTCCATGAAGTCTCTTTCTTTTGAAAGATTGAAGAGCTTTTCAATTTTCTGTTGCAAGTGGTTTTACATAAGAAATTTCACTGCTCCCAAAAGATTGGGGTTTAAAACAAATTTAGGCTTAGTTTTAAGGCTATACCAGCTCAAGTACCTCAGGCTGACTACTAAATGATATCTCTGTGGAAAATGACATACTCTTAAATACAGAAAAGGATCCTGAAAAGGATCCACATTTCCATATATTTTGTTACTTCTGCTGGACAGCTCCACTTTCTCTTATCTCTCTGTCTAACATACTATTTCATGAGGAGCCAGCCACAACCTAAGACAATTTTTTGCTGTTTAAGCTTCACATTGTTGCAAGATTTTTTTCTTTTATTATTTAATCTGCTAGCAGAGAGAGCTACAGGGACTCTTTCCAAAACTGAAGGAAGCTAAGTGACAGGTGACTCCCAGAGTAGCACATTGTTGAAAATCACAGATGAAATCCTGGCTTCATTAAACTCAGTAGCAAAATTATCAAGGTAACTGTAGGGAAAACCACAAATTATATGGTATCAACAGAACGGCCTCAAGCAACAATACTGGGTACGATCTGGAAAAAAAAATTAGAAAAAATGACACCATGTAGGGGAAGGAAATGGTTGTCTGGCCACTTTCGGAAGCCTGGTGAAAATGGGAGGAAAAATTATCTGGAATTTAAGGATTAGATTATGCCAGACATACTGAGCTTGTCTGGAATGCTACACACAGCTCAATTCTTGTAGGACCTTCAGTGAAAGACGTCCAAATGATTGCACAGGCACAGCTGTCCCAGTATCTGTTGGGTTTGGGTACCCCTTTCCTGCAAGAAGTGCTTTTCTTTAAAACATCTAACACCTTGTTGTCAGGAACACTGTCTGGATCTTCCTTTGTTCTTTGAGGGGCACCAGTTCACATTCAATGAACATAACTCTAGCATGCACATCCCAAGAGTCTGTGATCCAGGACCACGCTGTCCCTCAGCAGACCAATATGAGGCTATTGTAGAAAAGATCATTCCTCAGATTCTGCTGCATCTCCAAGCCATCCAGACATGCCATACAATGCTCCCTAGAATTAGCTGAAATATCCCACCCAGGAAATGCAGCAGCACTCTATCCCAGAAATGCCCCAAGCAAGATTTTCTTGCTAGGAGTTGGTAGAAAGGATCAAATTTAAAAAAAAAAAAAAAAAGAAAAAAAAAAAAAAGAAAAAAAGTTCTGAACTAAATTCATTTGGCCAGGTAGCATAGACACAGTATAATTAACTACTTTTAACAATGTTTTCATCTTTGCTTTGTAGTTCAGCTTTAAATAGGCCTCTGCCAGGAAATTTCCTGGTGTATCATGATTACAGTGGAAAGAATGAGTATCAGAAAGCATTCTGGAAAGAAAGACAGAAAAACACAACCACCACCACCCCCCATCCCCATTATCCTACTTTGAAAAATGTAATTAAGACAGACAGGATACTACATCTAAGGACATGGGTAGGTACCTTGACAGTCAGAAGTATATTACACACCAATTGCATTACCTTTTCTTTTGTAGTGCACTCCCTGCAATCACAACTAAAGAAATAGGAGTCTCTTAACCGGTCATTTCTGTCTTCTGTGGGATACAGCAGGTCAATATAGCTGCTAAAAATCTACATGGCAAAAAAAAAAAAAAACCAACAAACCAACAGTTAATGAGAACCAGCATCACTAAACATATTTATTAAACTTGTTCTGATATATGTAGTATGACAACGACATATTCATGCAGCTTGTGGACCCCTGCAGCCACATCACCTGCCTGTTGCCTCGCATTCCAAGCCCTTGACAGCATCAGGAGCTGTCACTTGTGAATGCTACCTGACAGAGAAGTGTTCCTTTCCTATTCATTATGGAATTTCCCTCAAATATTACCCTGGCTTGCACCCAGGACAGCAAGATTCAGGTGTGGATAAGGAAACTATCGCAGCATAAATCTCAGGCTCCTGTCAGACTACAAAGAGTTGCTTCCTTTTCAGAAGTAAAATAATGATTTCAGGTATCCAGCCTAGGATAAATTACAGTGGCCTGGTTTTTTGGAGGCTGGAATCTCAAATTTTTCTTACTGAAAACCCACAAAAACTGGGGCAACAGCAGTCACTGGCAGCTTTAGAAACTTAGGACAAGACCTTTAGATCTCTGAAAAGAAGAGAGGCCCAGTGCTCCAGTTCAAGGAGAATGAATATCAGATTTACTTCAGCAGCAATATTTTAAAGCAAAGAAAACCTGCTTTTGAACATTTTAAAGGCCCTTCATATACACTATTCTTAAGTTTTCCTCTGTTTCAATGGTCTTCAGAAAAGAACCCCTGCAACTAGCTTTAATGCTGTGCTTTTAAAATGAGATCTCCCCCAAGAAACACGTTCTATGCACAGTGCAGTTGATCATTCTACACACCAAGGAACAGCTTTAGCTCCATTTCCTCATTTACAGTTATTTGAAATTCTTTGCTCAGTCTTTATACTTAAAGTTTCTCTTTTCTTCAAATGTAAAATTACACGTAATTTCATACAGCGCACCTTCTTCTTAAGTGTGAGTGTGTAATCTCACACTTTCCCTCACACTCCTCTCCTCCCTTCCAAATTTTTAAAGTATATGGAATGCAGGAACCACATTCACAGCAAAAAAAAAATTTAAAATGTTGCCCTGCAATGGCTACAGGGAGCCTGAAGATGGAGACACAGGCTGGGAGACTGCACAGTGACCACACACAGGCACAGCTCACATTTAGGAAATTCTGAAGTGTCAGAAAAGCAACTGTGCAAAACCTGTGAGGTCCTGGAGAGCTGATGCAAATTCTAAGGCAGAATTCAACCTGAAGGAGATGTCGAGCAACATCATCTACCTCTAACGATACACTTTCCCCCAAAATGCTAAAAATGTTTGGGATTCCACAACAAAATTCTGAAGCCAGAATCAGTCCTGTTGGTTACCACAATGCATTTGCAGTGAGTGCCAACATCACAGACAAAAATCATCACTGGCAAATGGTGTCAAAAGTAGTTGCTCACCTGAGTCATTCACCCTTGGCTACAGACTAAACTCTGTTCACAAGGGGGATCAGGTAAACACCCCAAAAATATCCTCTCTACCTTTCTTCCATGCTGATATTACACAGCTCAGAAAACAGTACATGTTACAAAAATCAAATCTGACCTTATCAGCATTAACTTTGCCTAAATAAATTAACATTTACAAATGAGCCATTGAAATTTTGTGCAAACTCCATCCCCAGAGACGATGTTCAGTATCTTCATTCCCTACAGGTATTTGAACATACTCCCCAGCTCTATTTAACATCTTTTTTTGGTTTTTTTTTTTTTTATTATTATTTTTTTAAGTAAAGCGCAGCTCTACTGTTTAAAACTTCCTGCCAAATTCATTATTTGACTGAGAAAGTTTCAAAGTAAACCTAGAGCCTTACTCAATTTCACAGATTTTTATTCCTCTTTGTTCAGTTTCACTCCACCTAAAACCACACATTTGTTCTTCTGTGATTTCCCAGCAAATGCCACTGAGGTGATATGACCAAGTCCCATGTTTTGTGGATGCTCTGTCCAAACAGAAGTCAGAGGATTTATCTGTACCCATTTACCTTGTTTATTCTGGCTTCAATTTCAACACATTACTATTATACTGGGACCTATTATAGCAGTAATAATTTGCTTTGATCTTGGAATTTTAAAGCACCAGCCAAACATCAGTAAACTCAGCCTCATTTTGCAGATGGGTAAACTGAGAGAGGGGCTGGCAGATACCAGTGACTGCTGCAGGTGCCCATCCCATGTTTTAGCAAAAAATAGGGTACTGCCTCCAAAAAAAACTTCAGTCCTCCAGAGCCACCCTAATTTTTCCAAAGCACCATCTTACATTTCTCTGAGAAACAAGAGATCCTTCCTTCCTGTTTCTAAACTGCCATCTAACTGAAATGATCCTTGAGAAGCAGAATGAATCCCGTCGGGCTGCGCGAGAACAGAGCACTTTCAAACGTTGCATTTACCTCCTCTCCAGGCTCAATCTCTCTAACAGCTCTGACTTCAGCCAAGGTTCCCTTGTAAGTCACAATCACATTTGGGCAACAGCTATGGTTCATCAATGCAACACTGTAAAAGTAGAAAAGTAAATGTTTACCCCAACCACCGCCACAAGCAACATGCAAAAAGTTAAGCACCACTTCACAAAATAAATAAGTCTGAAAGATTGAGTCAGTCTGTCTCTCTAAGCTCTTTTTATTCTGAGGCTTAACATGAAGGTAACCTTGGGAAAATCTGTTGTACTGTTATTTATTCTAATGATATGGAGAATGGCTGTGCTAATGAATCATTACAATTTTTAAATCCTATTATTGCAGAACTAGGCAAGTTATTATTTTCCCCTTCTTACAGTGTTACAGGACAGCTGACAGGTATGTTCATACAGCTTTACTATCAATGTGATAGACAGACTATTTTCCTCAGAGGAGAAAGAAAAACACGTTTAACCTAAAAGGAAACAAGTAAATACAGGAAAACAAAAGTCTTTGCTGCATTGCAAGTTGAGTGGGTGTTAAAATTTTAGCCGGCTTCTATTCAAATGTAAACTGCCTCCATGTTTGAAGTGGGAGGGAGGAGATCTCTGTCTGTTATACAAGTACATGACTTGGACAAAAATCTGGACGGATAGAGAAAAGTAAACCCCTTACTACCAAGCTTGGAGAAAGTGCAGTTCACTGCTTATCTAAGATAAAAAATTTAAGTTTAATTCTTTCTCTTCCAATCTAGCAAAATAACAACTGTCTCTTCAGTATTTTTAGCTCAAAGGCGTAACTGTTAATAAGGAAAGATCTGACTCTTGTATCCTGAGCATTTACAAAGTGATGGTGCTGGACATTTTTCCAGAACATCCTGGTTTAATACTATCCTCTTCCCACAACGACTCTAATCCTGGGCATTTCAAGGCATTAATTTCCAATCTGTAGATCAGGGATATAAACATCAGACAGACCTGCCTGGAGAAGAATAATCTGTGAAGCAAGGACTAGCTACTACTGCTTGTCTGCAGCACTTGGCAAAATCACATCCAGCTTTGAGTGGGCATTCGTAAGTTTCAGGTTACTTTGACACAGATAAGCTACGAGTAATCCAAGCCTCACCAGGAAGTCAAACTAAGCCTCAGTGCTAATACCTTCATACAGGCTGTGCAAAGATCAGGGGCAGAAAATACCCTCCTCTGCTACAATATTAAATGGGAAGGACAGATTTAAAAATGCAACAAATGTTTCTTGGCCCTAAAGAAAGCTGTAGTCCCCCATTCACGAACTGAGGTTAACACTTAACATCTGCAGTTTATTTGTAAAGCTAAGAAGCTTGTACATAATTTTTTTTCCCACTGTCATAACAAGGAGGCTCAAAGAAGCTATGAAAGGGATTTATTATTTGCCAAGGAACAAAGGTAGAAGGGATATTGTTCAGAAAGCACCAGGGGAAGGTTTCTACCCAGCCAAAACAGGAAGTTGTGAATAGAGCAAGTTACCTGCAATCCTTTTCATTTGGCTTTGATCATTACTTGATGTCCCTGTCCAGAACCTGCTACCCAAGTTAAGGGGTTTTTACCAACCTGAATATAGTTCACAATCTAAGTTTCAAAACAAATTACAACTGCAATTTTTCCAAAATTCCTGGATTTTTAAGAAAAACTGCAAATAATTTGCCACATTTTATTAGCCAGTTAAAGATATTTAAAACAAGATAAATTAATTCTTTTGGTAGATATCTACTTCCTCTACTTGTTTTGAAACAAGTTAATTTTATCTTTTAAAATATTAAAATCAACCTACTCAGGAAATATGGCTGATCCCAAATGAGAGAGTTCTTCATCTTCAATTGTGAAGCCATTACAGTTAACCTGAGGAAAAAGAGAAAGGTGCTGGATCAGCTTCTGGTCAGCTGAGTACTCCGCATGTTCTCACATGTCACATTCTCATACATAAAACACAATTGCAGAATTGTAATTTGCTTACAATTTTTCATCCACCTCTCCAGGACTCACAGGGAGCTCCATGACTTCTCGACAAGTGAAGTGAGGACAAAGTCCCACTCCAAAGGAATGCACAGGACACTAAAGAACTGATGGTCCAACACTTGTACCTGCTCAGGACACATCTAGTGAAGTGCTCCTTGGAGGCTCAACCAAGAGAAGTGGGTCTCAAAAAGAGCACACAAAACCTCACCCCAACATGAGGCAAGCAAACTTCATTGGGCCATGACAAGGAACGGGCCAAAGCAGAACTACACATGCAAGGAGCAATGCGGGAAAGAAGGGCAGTGAACTCAGCCAGGCTGGGGCAGTACAGAGCTTTGATGGAGCATGTGTCACAGAGACCTGCCACAATGGGACCTGTCATCAAAGACTGCACATATCAGCTACAGCTAAAGCACATGTGAAAACAACAAAAGCACCGAGAAAGACTTGAACCTCATAAAGACATAGAATAGGAGGGGACAGAAAAAGGACAGAGTATGAGAGGAAGTGTATTCCTAATTTAAACAGACACAGGATCAAAAGAACTTGTTCACAAAACTCTCTTATAGAATAGATTCAAGCAGGTTTTAAAACCTTCTCACTTTTGTTCTCATCCAAGTCAAAGGAATCTTACAGAAGTTTCAGCTTTTTCATGTGGTTTTTATGACTTTAAGTGGCCAAAATGCACCTCAGTCAAGTACTTTATTCCACTTCCACTTCAAATCCCACACATACTGACACAAAGAGAACCCTCTCCACATTCACCATTATCTCCCTACAAACATGAAAAAAGCGCCAGTAACTCACTAAAACAACTACTCACTAGAACAAGATGGCCAAGTCCAGTTAAATCTAGAAAGGGCACAACAACAGTCAATCAAGTATACTGCAGTATTTGTTTTGGAAAGGGTAAGAGCTGACAACAAATACTACCAGCAGTAATCACAGAACCATTGAATGGTTTGGGTTGGAAGGGACTGTGAAGATCGTATTCCGGTCTCTTGTTTTTTCTTCAATCCCCAGAGGCAGGGATGCCTTCCAGTAGAGCAGGTTGCTCACCAAGCAAAGTGCTTGCCCCACAAGCTGGAATGCAGCCTGGACTGGCTTTTAGAAATACACAAACACACAAAGCCAGTCCTCAGGCATGAACTGTTCAGGGTGAGTTCACAATTAAGGCAAGTATCGTGACTCACTCATCAGTACCTCTGCTATCTTTCCTTGATCTTTATTCTGTTATTTTTAGCAATATAGCACCCAAAGTTTCCCAGTCTCTCAAGATGACCAATGTAAAAGCATATCAGAACCAAAACCAAAATGTAATAGCTGAATGCAAAAACAATAGAAGGGAAAGATAATATCAACAGCAAGTAAGAGCATAAGGCTACAAAGGCTGACAAAGAACAGCTTGATGGTTCTCAATCACAGGGAAATATTTAAAAATATGTCGTGAGTTATCATCAACTCCCCTCCACTAAGCCAGAGACAACACAATTCGTGTAATTTCTAATATGATACTTTCATAAGAGGAGAGATTAGAAGGGATGAGATATCACTGATTTCACCAGATGAATGCATGACCAAAAACAGACAAAGTGGAGGGAGTGAAGAGACAACAGCAATAACAGTGGAGTTCAAGATTGTTCCCAATGGTGGAAAAGAGAATGTGCAAAGGAAGGCACAAAATGCAAGGTCTTCAAGGAAAGGGTGAGATGCTGGAACTTGAGGCAAGAGAGAAACTGTTGGAAGAGTATGACAAGCTGAGGCTGAGGAAGAAAAGCTCCAGCCTCAAGAGCTATATTCCACAGGGACAAAAGAGAATAGCATGATGCCAACAGCTGGAGAAGAGGGCTGTGAAAGGCAAGGACTTTGGACAAAAGAACTCTATTCCACTCAAAAGGACCATTTGCACTTCAGCTGTGTAACGAAGAGCATCAAGCAAAGTTCACTAAAAACAATGAGAAGGAGTCAGAGGTGTTCAAACCCCAATGACTGCCCTGCATCACAGAGAGAAACAATGGGAATGGAGAAGCAAAACAGACCACATGAGGCCAGAGTAAGTGTTGAAGGAAAACAAAGAAGCAGCAGCATATCCATACTACTGGTTTTGGGTCAAGTTAACTAATTATTAGGAAACATGTTTGCACAGCTCAAGTACAAGCACACCTCTCGTTCTTCTGGAAAGATTTATTCTGGGACTAACACCTCAGAAGGTTGCATCCTGTAAAACATTTCTGAAAAGCAGCCAGATGACTTCCGGAGATTTTAGTTCAAAAAATTCTAATGTTCACAGCGGCAGAGAGCTACCTGATGATCAGGATGAGCTTAAGGTAGCACCTACGGGTGACATCCATAGAGAAGACTGGATGGAATATGAGATCTGGGAGTCAGCAGCTCACAGAAGTCAGTTCAAGTACCACAGTCTGCTGGAGCTGCTCTTAGACAGGACATGAAACAAAAGTTACTATAGCCAAAATAATGAAATCTTTGGGAAATTCTGACTACATGCTAACAAAAGCATTCATAAATACCACAAGAAACTGGTTTTACTAACATCTTCAAAGTATCCATCTGACAAATATAAATTTTAAAGTCTTCAAAAGAGAAAAAAACCCTCGTCATTGAAAAGAAATGTGTAATTAGAAACAACTCAAGGGATGATAAGCAGATGCTAAACATCCTAAAGAATCATTCCCCTACAGAATAAGAGTACTTCTGTAGTAAGGAGATAGTAACTGTGCCTCCTTGTTGGTAGATACCCAGCTCTACCAAACAGGCTATTTCCATCCCAGCTTTCATCACAGAAGTCAACATCTGCCCCCATCTCAAGATATTATTTTACTCAGAAACCTAAGTACAAAAGTAGCTTATATTGAAGCAAAAGAGGGAAAAGAAGAAAATGGATCTTTCAGTATTCCACCGGTGTATTATTCCTTCCACTACAATACACCCAATTCAGATGCATATGAAAAGTAAGTGAGAAAAAAGAAATGACATATCAGAAGTTATCTAATAAGACATCCTGTCTTTCCTTCATCTCTCCAGATGGCCAAACCACCTGACTACATTTAAAAGCCACACACCAGATAAAAGTTTTAGGCTGCGCTTTCTGCTGCTCTTTCTACATCTCTGAAGTTTACTCCCTGTGAAGGTCAAACACAATGATGACCTGACCACAAGTTTGAAGCCTGAATGAAGGATTTGCCTCGGCAGGGTCTCAGGCTGGCAGCCTCCATGTTAGTTTAACAACAGCCACGCTATGTTTGGCCCACAAGAAGCTTAACTTGGACAGAGTTTATTAAAGGCTGTCAGTGTTTGAGAAGCACCTCATGGAAAGTCTGTATACAGGAGTCTCTCCCCTCAGGACGGAAGTGGAGCACATCCAGCCATTACTGCTCAGTGAAGCAGAAGTATAGTTATCTGTCCCTAAGATAAGCAAAGAGCTACCATTTCCATTGCCATTAACATTCTCCCCCTTCCAGAAAGGCTAAACTCCTACAGCACCATCCACCTAAGCAGGCTGTGTTCTAGCCAACTTACTTGTGCAAAGAGAACTACAAGGGCAGCATTGTCAGGGTAGTCCAAGTGCTTTGAGTAAAAGCGATGAAGAGCAGCAATGTCGTTCTGAATCAGCTCTCTCTTTTCATTGTCTAGTTTGTCAAGGTCTGTGGACAAAAAACACATTTCATTTCAGTAACAGGAAAACCCCTCCAGGTAGCCTTAGGTTAGAAGAAACCCAGACTTTAACAGAAACCGCTGAGGGACAAGCCACTTGGAAGTACTGCAAGAAGTGCCTGCTCTTCCACAAACATAATGTTGCCTCTGCTAAAGCCACACGTGTGCTACAAGAACATAAAATCACAGAATCACTAGGTTGGAAGAGACCTTCAAGATCATCGAGTCCAGCACATGCCCAACATGAAGGATTAAAAAGCATTTTCTGACATCTTTAGGTTAGCAGATAATTGGACACAGACTACTTTCCTCGGAGAAGGGTTGTAGTCTTTAAAGCACATTTGTTAACTCTAGCAAACAGCCCAGCAGCCCTGGCCCTCTGGAAGCCTTTCAGCTGGGGTAGCTGTCCTCAGCTGTCTGACACGACCTTACCAGCTACATGATCCCACCCACTGTGGCATGAGCTCACACTAAACATCACCCACCTGAAAACATGCTTTATATAATGAAACTTTCTCGTACAGACCTATTCCTTACCAGCACAAACCAGCCCAAACTGCTGCTAAGGCTGCTTATCCCTGCTGCTTTTAAAAGACGTGGTCTTTCTCAGCACAGAAGCCCCACCTCTTTGTGGCCACACATGACAGGGACCTAGCAACAACACTGGGGGCTACAGGGGTTCCCTTTGCAGCAAGAAGAGGATATGAAGGTGCCCAGGAATGCAATCCACCTGACCTATTGCAGGTACCTGCCTCAGGAGGTAGCAAACAGTGCCTGAAAGTGCCCACATCTCCACAGGCTGGGGGGTGACCACCAACAGAGATGTGTTTAGACATCTACTAATAGAAGACAGCAGGAACATCAGTGGAAATGTCCTGGCATGTTGCTGCCTGAATAGCTGGCAGTAAAGTCCAGGGTAAGGAAGCAGAAAGGGCCTTTGCATGGTATCCACAGATGTTTTATTCAGCCGTGCAGTGAGACATTCAGGTCCCAGGCACACACACATGGAGGGTTCAGGTTTTCTCTCCCAAGGGGCCAGGGCTGACCCTGGCCTCGGGACAGTACAAAGATGAGGGCCAATCAGGGAATAGGGAGGGAGTGGCTCAGGGACATAGGAACGGACATAGGAACAGGGGAAGGAGCCAACAGGGTCTTAACAGCTTTTTGAGGGAAGCTTCTTGTGTCTCCTTAAGCTAGGGAATGTCCCCCAGGGTCTCCACACTGGCAGACCTGCCAACTGTATTCCATTATGGGTTTCTCCAGAGATTTACCCTCAGGCCCATGACAAGTTCTAACCAAAGCCATGGCCACTGAACCTTTCCCTACCTCATCCATGCAGAGTAAGCTAGATGATCCACCATATGCTCCTGGAACCCTCTCTCTCCCCTCAAGAGCAGAAGGTTTGGAAGTGGCAGTGGCAGTGTTACTAGTTCTCTCCTGCTCTCTCCAACTCAAAATAATAATGGAGAGAAAAGGCTGCACAACAGTCAAAGAAGGACGAAATTGTTTGTAAGAGCAGATGTGAATGATGGGGGAGTCACAAAAAACGCTAAGGAAAATGAAATTGGACCATTTGATGAGAATGAAGACAAATCAGAAATAAGAAATTCTGAGCTTCCAACTGACAGCCAAGTGCCTTTTCCTGTCCTGTGTGTGGTGTTGCAAAGCATAAGACAACTGATAAAGGTGTGCTAAGCAGTGAGGTGAATCAAAAAGCAGCAGGAACAGGCATGCTTGCTAACAAAACAAAGGCTTCTAGAGGACGAGTGGGACACTGCAACAGAAAAAAACATTTCAGCCTTTTATCTCTCAAATTAATAAATTATTGAATACAAGCTGCAATGCAGAAGAATACACAGACACTTACCTATTGTCCTCAACCTCAATCCTGCCAACTTATCTGCAGAACTATCCTTACCATAGGCAAAGTTAAAGGTAGGCATTTTTCCCCCTTGTTCCCCCAGTTGTCCCAAAAACAATGACAGGAGCTTTTGTTCAGGAGGCAAATAAGACTACTGTGCTTGGTTACTCTGCTACCTCAAGTCCTAGCAATAAGTACATTTATTCAGCATTTTGTAAAAGGTTTTGGAAGCCATCAGAGTGAGTAATATGAATATACAATCTATTGCCTCTGTGTTTTATTATGCTCAGCACCAAGAAAGACTGGTGAAAACTGTGCCAGGATGGGCACTAATGGTCAGTTTCTAACTCGGCCTTACTGGTTGTAAACAGTAGCTTTCCAGTTAAAAGCAAGCCATTGCCTTATCTCCTTCTTTGGATTATTTTAGAGCATTTAGGACATGGAATCATATACAACATGTCAGATTTGACTGGCAGTGACAGATACTGAAGCACAGTCCAGAGGGTTCTGCAATTAGCCCCTTAGTCACTGTCACCATCAAGCAACTGTGCTGTCTCTGATTTTATGCCTCCTGGTAACAAATACCAGCTATTTTAATTTTGCAAGATTACAATTCTCAAAAGACACTAGAATACCAGAGAAGCAAGAGATGGATGTATGCTACATAATTTAACTCTGTCTAGGTTTTCATCCTTGTTTCACAGCTCCCACAAACAGCCAAGAAAAAAAAAGAAAGAAAGAAGAGCACTGCACTTTCATAAAAATGAGGAACCATAATTCTCTTTGTTTACTTCTTTCCTCCAGCAGGAGTGGGATCTTCTGAAAGGTGTTGATGAAGGGGAGCCACGGGGAAACAAATCATTAATACAGTTAAGTCAAAACCTCTGTTTACCTGCAAGCCTTTTTTACTTACGTGATTCAAACTCTTTTACAGCAAGCAGCTTCTCTGACTGTGTTCTTTCAGGGTGAGTTTTCTAACAACAAAGGGGGGGGGGGGGAAAAAAAGAAAATATTTTAATGTTTCCCTTCAGCAGTTTTGTGTACTCATTCAGAATTTGGGAACTCCTACCTGTAAGACAAACCCAAATCCACAGTCTATGGAATTTATAAGAGTTGATGAACACCAATGAGTTAAATTGACTGCCCTAACTAAAGGCATAGAAATATTCTCTCCACACCAAATTAGGCAGCCAAAGATGAACTCCTCTCAAATTTATATACATAAACTGAACAGTATTTTAAATATGTCATTTGCTTTGTTCTGAACACCCAGAAAGCTGCTAACAATAGCAAGCAGGCAGAAGACAGGCTTTGCTTTGAGGAAAGTGAATAAACTGACTGTTGACAGAGTTCAAAAGCAGTGCTCCACTGTTGGCCTAAGGCCACTTCTTTGTAATCTTGGCCATTAAATATGGCTTTGCAGGTGGCCCAGCAGCTGAGGTTCAGGGACTATGGTTTGCATATTTAGCTTTTATATGACATGTAGGGTTCTCCCCCCTCACTGTAAGCGATGAAAGCAGAAATTTACTCCAACGACTTTTTGTCATGAAACATTCGATTTTGTTTGTGGATCACCCCCAAACGGCGCTTTAATTAAGTCACACACGTGTACATTCATGCACACACATCTACACACACAGCAAGGATGCAGCTACCTTCCCAGTAGGCCACCAAAATCCTCCCTACATACAGTATCCAGGTTGCCCTTGTCACATAACCAGACCTCAATCACAAAAATATCCCTCAAAGAGGATTTGTTTTTGCAGAGAGAGTTTGGAGCTCTACAAAGATACACAGCACAATAACCTTGAAACTCATGAATCCCATCCCATCCCTGTAAGCACTTGTGTTATCCCCAGTATCCATATAGTTAAGGAACACTGAAATGGAGGTTGACATTGCAATCTTCTTTCCTTACTCACAATATTCTTTTTTTTCCAAATACCAAGGGTCTAAGATTTCTCTCTCACTCTGGTTTTCACCAGCTATCTCATAATCATAAATGTTTATGCCTGAATACCTCAGAGGTGTTTTGACTCACAAATGTACTGGGAGTTATATGCTACACAATGCTATGCAACTGTAGCTGAAAAATACTACAACAGACAACTGCTTCATAAAGGTATCAGTGCCTGCAGCCAGACAACTCCAGTAGCATTCCTTGGAATTAAACCCAAATAGCAAATCTTATTCTTCTTTCTTTTTATCAGTGTCGTCTTGGTGCTTGCCCACATGTGTAACCAAGAGCTCAAATCTACCAGATCAGGGGCTGAAACACCAACATAAAACCATCAGTAAATATTTCCAGGCTCTGTTCAGCAGTACGTTGGCCATAGGTTACAGCTGAAGACCTCACTAGCCTTTCTCTAGCTTCCCACAAAAGTCTCCAGCTGGACCATGCTGGCCCTGACCCTGCTGCAGTGGTCTGATGGTCAGCTCATTCAGCTGCTCGAGCTCTGTGTTACACCTGTCTGTACACAGGAAACGTGTGTGTGTGTGTGTGTGTGCTTTGCAGGGACAGTTACTGTCGGTCAATTTTAATTTTCCTGCCTTCCCTGGCACCCAGAGCAGGAGCAAACCTCCCAAGCCTCACTTTCTGCTCACCTGTTTGGCAAGGATCCTTGCTGTTAGCCTCACAGTCTCTGAGGGATGCCAGTTCTGCCCAAAAGTGCACATGGAGGCACATTCCAGCTTGTGCATTGGCCAGTCTTCCTTCTGAAAACAGAGAAAAAAATACTTTTAAAAAAAAAAAAGAGCCATGGAGATAAACTTATGAAAAAGGGGATGAAGCAAGTCCTGCCAGATCCTAGAGGTCAAGTGAAATGTGTTTTCTTTAAAAAATAAGGTGACACTCACTAAACCAGAACAAAAGCTTGAGTCACATTTAAGGGGTACAGCTATCCTGCTTTTTTTCAAACAAATTCACAAGGGATGAGCTGAGGTCAGAACATCTTCACTTACTCAACGGAAAAAAAGTATTAAATGACAAAGAAGCAAATAGACAACATGATTTATAAATCACCAGTTCTTATTGTTCAGATCAAGAATGTGAGGACACAGTAGGTCTGAGCTTGATGACTTTATTGGGTTGATTTCCATTTAATACCTTGGCCCCTCACTATGAGGTGACCCTGGTGTAATCAGGAGTAATGTGTCTGAAGTCAATGGATTCACAACCATTAAGAATCATTTGACTGTAAGGTCAACCACAAACATTCTGATGGAATTATCAGATTTTTTCTCCTTAAATGTTGAAGAATTAAAGTACAGCTAGACAATGAAAAAACACTAATACAGACAAACATTTTAGTTAAATGTACAGAATATAGTTTAGGTAATGCATAGCATATTCCTAGCTTAACAGACAGTAACAACATACAGGAGTGATGGCACAAGGCACTCACCGGCTTTTGTCACTCAACAAATTTCATCCAAGGCCACAGAATCTTCCAAACAATAGCAGAGAATCACATATTAACAATCTGCACTAGCCCAGACTGTCCTCAGACTGCATCAAATTTTATTTTATTAATTCATTTAAATATGGAAATAATCAAGCAATGCACAGGAATTTATTGCTATATCTCATCCCAAACACACGTTTATAGCACTATGTTAGAACAGAATGACAGTTTTCTGTCTGCTTAGGGAGCATCAAACTTTGCTTTCATACCAGATTCAAACTGGTGGAAAACACTAGCAGAGAAAAAAACTCCCAACAAATCCCACTAATCTGTGAGTGAAAACTTCAAAAAATTTTAGCACCTTCCAGAATGTTCTTAAATCCCATTACTCTGATTCACTCAGTATGGCAGATCCTGTGTTGGCCCACTTAGCCCCAGTTTTTAAAAATAATTTTAAAAACCCAACAATATGACCCATCATAGTGACTGAGTGGCACAGAAGGAACAATTTCCCTCAGCTGCTTAACCACTAAAGGCAAGAGCTGTTTGAAACACCAGGGAGACACAGTGGAGGCTGCCTGAAGCATCTACACAGGACTGGTAGATATGCTACAGGACTACTGGGAGATGGATTCCTTGTGGGAGCTACATACAGCACCCCAAAGCAGGAAACAGTCAGGGGAATCAGGACCCTCAGTGCCTCCTGCCTTGGCTGGTCAGCTTATTTACAGGTTTTGCAGATCAAAACAATAGCTAAGATTACCAATTTCAGAGTTACTACACCAAAATTTCTTCCACTGAAAACAGTTATTTTAAGTGTCCTGGGCACAGACAGCTTTAGGAGGTTATTTTATTAGGAAAAGAAAGGTCAACACATGCCCCAGCCTTGGGTAGGATTTGAAGCAGTGCAACACTGCAAGGGTATTCAACCCCTCACAATGTCAGCTGTGCTGTCCTCGATAACCCAGCATGGTACTTCCAAAAAACCTACATACAGGCTGCTTGAAATAAGCTCCAGTGTAAATATTCTAAGAGGATGGCAATACAGACCAGAACCAAAATAGTATATTACACTGTAATCATGTCATGTGAAATTACACTCTCAACTCTCCTATAGCTGTCACACTACAAAATGCATCCCCGGAGAGACCCATTTCCTATGTATGCCCCAAAACCTTTTCTGGAAAATTCGACAGCCTTTGCTAAGGAATCTACAGGCCAAAGGCTAAAAAGAGAGAGGGAAATCTCACTTCTCACCTCTTCTTACTTACTCAGGACACCCACTAACTTTAGCATGCTTGTTCATAAAGAGAAGGCACTGAACCTGAAGCTTTGCAGGACTCTCATCCATACACACACATTAAATAAACAGGAGAAATTACCTGATAAAACAAAAAATCAAAATGCAAAATCACGTGCCTGTCTTGAAGTAGTGTTTTTTAAAAAAAAATCCATTTGTCCCTTTATTCTTTACACATCGTTAATTAAAATCTTTCCCCAGACAGAATCATACTGAGTTATATGAACTGGTAGGGAGGTTAAAGGGACAAGATACGGCTGAATTGTGCAAAATGAGATAAAAGCCTGAAAGACCATAAAAAAAGAGAGAGTTCTGATGACTGAGTAATACCTGGGATAGAAACACCATGACAGCAGCTTTCCCTGCGATCACAGCAGGACTGTATTTTGCATTCTTTTCCACATTTTCCTCCAGGTAGTTTGAATTACAACAAGTAGCATTGTTCTAACTGAATCCCTAGTGCTCCGTTAATGATATTTTCTTCCTATTTTCATTATATTCACAATATTTTTTCCTTCATTTAGGAGTGACAACATTTTTGGAAGGGAAGTTCTTTAAAGCTTATGCCTTTTACATCAAAGCATGGGAACACTCCTCTTCACCAAGTTCTTCAAAGAGATTCTTCCTTCCAGGACTACTGGACTGATTCCCAGAACACTGTCTTATACCTCACCATAGGAGAAAAACAACAAGTGACAAAATATAATATTAAAAAAAATAAAACTCAAGTCCAAACAAATGTCTTTATACCTCCTTTTTAACATGGGCTTTTTCAATACGAAATAAAAACTATGTTCTATTTCACTCAATCGAAAAGAAACACACATAAATACCAGAGAGAAATGATGGGCAAGCCAGTGCAGGGGTTAGGCTCACTTCTTCAGAATCTTAAGGCCCAATTGTGATCAAATGGCATCCAATTCCTTAACTGAATTTCAGTGAGGCAACTTCTGATGTCTGATATTAATTGGTAAAGTTCTCTGATACAGCCTTTCAACAAGCAGTGAAGGTAAAAGTTTTATACATCTTCTCAGCCATCCTTCCCTATCATCATTTACCAAATACTGAGCTATAGAGGGTATTTGACTTTCATGGGTTAACACTTAACATGTTCACAGAGACCTTTACCAAAGAAAAATACATTGGCAAACTTTTTGTATAGGGGGACAGACATCCAGTGCAATCTTGCAGTGTCAAAATCCTTTTGAGCAGAATCATTACAGTAAAAAATTTTGTATTTTTTTCTACATCTTAACAAAGAGGAGCAGGCAATTTCTACAAGGTCCCATTTAAAACACACCTGCTTAATTACAGGTGTGCAACTACATTTTGAGGCTTACTAGCTGGTTAAAAATACCTGTTTCAGTCACTCCAGAAATACCAACTACAGCAGCCTTTAACGTGATATGTTGAGAAAAACCCATAAATTGTTTGTTCAAAATATATTTCAAACGCTGAAAATCACCACACAAACATCTCCTTCTGCACACTGGCTAGCAGACTTCCACTCTCTTTGGGATAAATGATAGCCATATGTAATAACAGCAAGAGGAGTTCCAGTAGCTGGTTCAAGTTCACCAGGTCCAAAATTACAAACACATAACCCTCTTAAAACATTTCTCTTCAGGGTGTTCCAGCAGCTAATTTCTAAAGAGAAAAAATGAGCACAGGTCTCCTCCTGCTTGACTAAAATTATTATAATATAAGAAGTCAAGACCTGAACAGCTGCAGATGGGGGCTGAAAGCCACTATTGTAACAGGCCTGTGCTCCAAGGAGGTGAAACTGGAGAGTGGGATGGTGTGAATCTGCTGGAAATCACAATCCCTTTTAAAAGGAGACCTGGATTAGGGCTTGGGGAAAGAAAGACCCAGCAAACCCAGACTAGATTTAACCCGCAAAACATTAAAAGCAGCGAGGACAGGCAGTGAAGGCAACTTCCATTCTTATGTGCCCTGAATCCACACCTATGCAAATATCCAGCTTAATACAGGCCAAACATGTGGTTATCCATCCCAAAAGCAAAATAAGAGACCAAAACAGGAACATTAAGGAGCTGTGCCAAAGCCTGTGTGTGTACATAGATCCACCTCTCTCCACAATGATCAAGAATTCCTATGAGTTGTGGTATAGGACGTCTTTAAGTAAGAAAAGAGCAAGCTCAAAAGCTTTGGGTTTTTATTCCATATGTCTCATGTGGTAAACATTTGTCTAACTGCATTGTATTGACTAACAAGGTACTAACCAATATATTAAATCATACCATGCCCTCATTGGTTGCTGAATTGAGCAATTTTTAGCTGAATTGACCAAAAAAATATGGATTTACAGGGGAAAATTAACTTATAAAATAAAAATGAAATGAACAATACCATGACAGTTCTCAAGCCCTGGCCTTTTATGACTGTTGCATGGTATCTCACCTCCATGCAGGAAAAAGGGACACATTTCCTCAACATTCTAGTATTACAAATTCAGTACCAAGGCACAGATATCCTTTTTAGCTTTTACAAAGAATTGCTGAACAGCTGAAAAGTGCCTTTGAACAAGACAGCGATGAAGATGCAGAGCAGACTGACTGTGTAGCATATACAGTCAGTGGAGACCAGTTTCTAGAGAATATTGTGCTTGAAGGTAATTTTGAAAGAATATCAAAGAATTCCATCTCAGCAACATTTATAAATTTCATCAGACTGACTCAGAAGGGCCCATAAGATGGAAGACAGCGTTATATCAACTAGGGAATCAAAAGCCATATGTATATCACCAGCAAGAGTGAGGTGCTAGTACCTATGCATGTCATACTATAGTTTAGACACCAACAAAATCTAAAAAAGGCCTTCATATCTAGAGCATCATATCACATACCAACAGGTAGGAAAGATTCTGATTCACTAACTTATCAGACAGACAAGCTTTTACTGAGCATCAGCTTTAGCAGACTTAAGGACACTCAGTTTGAGCAGTTCAGGTTTTTACTCTAGGAACATGTCCCTCTAAAGAGAGAGAATTCTGACCACCAAAAAATAAAAATTAAAAAAAAAATTAATCTAAAGAAAAGCAATACATATACAAAACTTTATCAGGAATAAAATAAAATAAATCAATTCCTCCTTGTTTGTAAATGTAAAAGTATAAACTTTGTCAAGGCTGGGAGTCAGGACTCTGAGGGAGGGCCACTTGGTGATGAAAGCAAAGGACCATGGATGAGAAGAAATAAGTTCTTCTACTTCCAACGTGACATCTACTTCCTATTTTCCCCAGCACAAATTACTGAGCTTTCCTACTTCAGAAAATCTTGCACAGCTGTTTCACAAACCACTGTACATTTTATATAGTAAGAGAAGAAACTCAGAGTCTCAGATAAAAGCTGCTAAACAGCCGCTTTGTTCAAGGATTTCCTTACCTCATGTAGTAAATAGCCTGTATAATAATAAGAAATAATGACATGAGGAAACATTTCTTATAAACAAGCATTTTCCATGAATGAATCATAGGTTTTCTCTTCACTGACTTTAAAGCTCATCCAAATTTCTCTCAAGACCCTTAAAGATGCTCATACAGTAAGCTTTCACTTTGGAAATTCTATGAACTACTGAAATTTTGTAAAAAACTCATTTCTGTTAAGCCTTTTGAGTTCTCCTGGTGCCTCAAAACCAAAAGGCTATTTGATTCACCCAAAACTCACTAGGATCCTGTGGGAAAGCAGGAAGTTGGGGAGGTAATAGAGGGAAAACTGAGGAGAGGTCAGGCTTCTTTTGAAACTCGTGCAACAGGAGAATAAGAGACATCCTCGAAATAAAAGCAACAGCCATGTCCAAAGTGTGTGGGAACTGAGCAGCACTAATCACGACATCTCTCTCCAGGTAATGACAAGAGACTACTTGGCATGGACCCATGCACCCAAGAGCACGTTAACATGTGGGACAAGGTTTGGATTATTTATGGCTAACACACAGCTGCATGCCAGACCTTGGGCCACTCAAATCCTTCATAAGCATTGTTCCACACTTCATGCCCAGCACCACAGACCTTTCATAACTCACATTATTCAACCAGCAACACAGTTGAGTTTTTCCACACAGAAACTGGATAATTCTTCCCCATCAAGCTGAGGGCCCAAAAAAGGCTAGATTCTAATATTCTAATCCTTTTTTCTGTGGTTTTTTTCTCCCTATTTTTTTTTAATTTGCTTATTCTAGTTTGAATTAAAAACAGAGTTAAAACTGCATGTAAACGTTTTGGACATCTTTGTATTGCCCCACTATGCACTTATATTCTACATCCAGGGGTCTTTGAAAAAATGGGAAAAGAATAGAAGTTGCCACAGCAAGTGAGGGAGAAAGCCTGATAGGTTTCAAATGGTTATGACTACCATCAGCTGTGGTAGTCTCAATACTCAAAATATTTGCAAATATTCTTAAAAAAAAAACCAAAAACAAACAAACAAACAAAAAACTCTCTCTCTCTCTCCTAAGATGGCTATTTAGTGATTTGATTTTTTTTCCATTAGACACAGGATATCTTACCAGTTTAGTGAGCTAATGCTAAATTATCAGGACTGTCCTTAAAGGAAGAAGTAATACAGACATAATTAGTAGGTTGACAGGCAGCTCTAATCAAAGTCTCAGTGCTACCAAGCCCTGAAGCTGCTGATCTTGAAAGACTCATGCAGACCATGGCGAAATCCTGTGATTGTCCAATGCACAGCTCCATGGTCAGCATCTGTGGGATACTGGAACTGGCTGGAGTGTTATTAACCATAGCGACAATTAGAGCATATCAAATGCCACACAAACAAAAACTGGAGTTCTGCAACCCCCACCCTCCTTCCCCCAACCCTCACAAACTGCATGACCATACCTGACATTCCACATTGCAATAAAAGGCCTGTTTACATCTTCCACACTTGGACAATCCTTCTTTCCTTAAAAAAAAAAAAAAAAAAAAAGAAGTTATTTTGTTCTAGAAACCCGAATGAAATAAAAGTGTATACTGGATCAATTTTTGCATTTCACAATGAAAACTCCATTAGACTTTCAAAAGCACTTTTTTTTCCAAGCAAGTCTCATTATGAATTCTGCTTTCCTGATAAATTGCTGGGTTTGGAAACATGTTACTCTATGCTATTTGACAGACAGCATCATTTTTTTGACACTATATGAAGCATAATGAGCTAAATTTCTTGTGTTTTACAAACTTTAAAACTGCTCTGTGTACTTGTTCACCAATATTAACCCTCTATAGTCTACCGCTTCTTTGGTTATAGAATGCACAACCTTTGTTGAGTAAGTACCTCCAAAAGCCAAGAAAAAATAATATGTTATTAAATATACTGTTTGATCTCCTGTCACCTGAGAGCCCCTTACTGTCCCACCCTGTCTGCTCTGATATCTGTGTATTCTGAGCAGACCTAAGGCTCACACTCTCCTTTTTTACATTTGTATATACCCCACCAGAGGGAACTGCCACGAGGAAGGTCCTTTTCTGCTTTAAAGTGCATGTGTTGCAACAGATCCCACCAAAAATAGAACATGTGTTACCCAACAAGTGACATTTTGGTATGACAGCAATAGGGATCTCTCAGCAGTACTGAATGCTTTTAAAATGTCTACACACCCTCCCTGGGGTAAGTAGCAAAAAAAAAAAAAAAAAAAAAAAAAGCCTTACACTGAGGTAAGCTCACTGGAGTGAATCAAGGATGAGAGTCCTTATATGATGTGATAGTGTACAACATTTGGGTGGTCACTGGTATTTGGAGCCCATAAAACCCAGCAAGTCTGGCATCCTCTGATTGTATCTGCAAAGCACACAAGGTGCAATCTGAGCGAGCCGGGCTAACATCATGACGCCTCTCGCTGACATTACAACCGCGTATTTAAAGTAACAACCACTATCTCATGCAAATACAATGTTACGGCCTCATTTTGCCCATGTTACCGCCAAAGTTTTCACGACAACTTCGCCAAGTTTCCCTTCCTAAGGCTGGTGTCGGGCCCACAACCTCCCTGCTAGGGCTCTTTGCAAGTTGTACCAGCAGTTTGGAATCTAGTACGTGCTAGTTCAGTGCTAATGCAACAGTCACAGACACAGAACACATGTCTGAGTGCTGGCGGATCACCTTACATCGCCGAGACATCGTTCCTCTTAGTGGCACTTCATCACCCTGGTGTGAAATAAGTTTCAGATTACCCCACTAACTGCTGTCCTGCTGCAGTCAGTGGGCTCCTTGATTGCTGTGGTTCTCCAGAGCTCCAAAGGAGAAGCTTGCATGGATAGCAAGGAGCTGCTCCCGAAGATAACTAAAAGCTATTCTGTGAGCTTTTATCTCACAGAATTAACTATTATCCTTACAGTATTACTTCATATCAGTGAAGTATGGAACTATTCCCCGGTCCTTTGGCAGAAAAATCTGAATATGATAAACAAAACCAGACAGCTTCTCTGGCACAAGGAAACTTGTGGTTAGGTACAAGAGTTAAAAAAACCCTAAACCCAAAAGCAACACTTCAATGCAAACCTTACAGGCTGGGAAAAGGTGTAAAAGAGGTGAGGAAAATCACCTCAGCTGTACCCTTCTTCAAATTAATGGAACTGGCTTCACTAGGAACTATATTAGATGATCATAGGCAAAGAGAGGGGTGAATCAAGTGACCAAGTCATAAGCCAATAAGGTAACGAGGAAAGAAAAAGGATGCATGGACAAAAATACTACAATTGCAACAGTTGCTTTTCTTTCCTGAGGCAACTACTAAAATTTGCTGTCAGTTATAACCAAGTAAGCACTTAATTCCTCAGTAAGCTGTGTGTAACGAAAGTACTACACCTTCTAAAAATATGATGTGGTGTGACGTGCCAGAGTGTCATATCCATGCTGAATTTGCTAACCCTAATACACCCTAATACACACTGCAGCAGCTCGTATTGAGAGGCTTGAGGCAAACACTTGAATACCTCCCCTTCACACAGGTGAGGAGGCAGCTGCAGAGGCCCCGGCAAACTCGAGCCCCCCGCATCCCTCCAGCACCAGGAATCCCGAAGCACTCAGGAGCAGGCAGCACTCCAGTCCCAGTATTCCCAGCCAGGAGACAAACAAGTTCTTGCATTGCCTGCGCTCCGCCCCAGTAAGTGATTTGCAGACTAAGGTTTCAGACAGAGGTAACATATTTCTGTATATTTCAATACGGAGATATATACATTTCATTCACAGATATTCCCTGCGCACTAGGGAATGTGAAATGTGAATTAGGCGATTGCAGACCCTTCCTCCCTTACCAAACCTTCATTAAAACCAGCGAACACGAATTTATTACAAAACTAGACGGAGCAATGAAACTTCCTGCGAGAGGATGGTTACGCACGTGTCTACGTGACCACCAGAGCACGGGAAGAGCAGAATTTTTTTTTTTTTCTTTTCCTTTCTCTTTCCTGAGCTGCTGAGCACGGAAAACCAGCTTTGACTTTAAACCTCCGTGCTGCCACAGCACCACGAGCCGAGGAGGGGGAAAGTTCTGCTGCCGCCACGCAAAAGCCGCGGGCCCTACCTGGCGAAGCAGCCGTCGCAGTGGCTGCCGCGCTCGCTGACGGTCAGCACGGCCACATAGGCCGGGCAGCTGAGCAGCAGCTCGCCCACGGCGAAGCGCCGCCGCGCCCGCAGCCCCCGGCCCTTGCCGGCGCTGGCGAACCTCTCCAGGCCGCCCAGCTGCGGCGCCGCCTCCGAGCGCATCCCGGCCGCGGGGAGGGCAGGGGAGCCGGGCGGGTTCGCAGCGCTGCTCTCGGGAGCCCGGGGCCGCCGCCACTGCACGCCCGCCAGGGAAGCGCCTCCTCCGGGCGGCGCGGGCCCCGCCGGCGGCTGCGCACCGGGAGCCGCTGCCCGCCGAGGCCTGCGCGGCGCTCCGGCACCGAGCCCTGCCCGCCCGCTCCGGGCTGGCCTCGGGAGGGGCTGCCCATGCCAACCTGTGTGCGGTGGAAGCATCCCGCAGATCCACCCGGATCTCGGGCAGTGAGGACAGCGGGACGAGGCTCTCCCGCAGCCCTCACAGCCCTCTCGTTAATATTAGCACCTAACACAGCTCCCAGTGAAGTCAGTGAAGCGAGTCCTATTCACTTGAAGAAAGGTACAAATGAGGTGATTTTGCTCTCCTCCTGCATACCAGTGGCTTTTCCCAGCCTCTAAGATTTGCGTTGAGCTGTCGTTTTGGGTTTTTTTTTTTAGTTTTTTTGTTTGTTTTTTTTCTTAACTTACGTGCCTAAGCACAAATTTTCTTGTGCCATAGAAAGTGTCTGGTTTTGTTTATCACATTCAGTAGATTTCTGTCTGCCAAAGGACCAAGAAATACTTCCATGCTCCATTGCTATGCAGTAATAGTTATCTCAGGGAATAGCTTTTCAGTCTCTTCAGGAGCAGCTGCTTGTTATCCATGCAAGCTTCTCCTTTGGAGCTCTAGAGGAACACAGGGAGGAAGGAGTATACTGACTGCATTAGCAGAATAGTTAGTGGAGTCATCTGAAACTTATTTCACACCAGGGTGATGAAGTGCCACTGAGAGGAGCAGCAAGGCCTCCCAGATCAAGGCACCTCAGTTGTGAGCAGGTTTGCAGTTCAGCTCACAGGGAGCTCAGGTGTTGCAGCCTCCTGGATAGATAACCAGGGCAGAGAGAGAATGTGGCAAGCCTGGGCTCTCCCTGCAGTTCAGTGTAGATTGAGGATGTCAAGCTCAAAGGTCTGGACTCTTAATTATAGATTATTCTACACCTAAGTATGTTTAAAATAGTGATTGATAATGTATGCACTTTAAGAATGAATTAACATTAACTGGGAAACTGCCCTTATGGTCAGTCTAGTTTGATTAATTTATAGATACATTCTAGTTAGATAAATAGAGTCGCAGCTCGCAAACCCATCTACGCTGACTTCTTACGCTGCACAAGCTAATAAATTCCTTGAACTAATTCCTGCTCAAAGTAGAGCAAAACTTCTAGGAAATAACTAGTCTTGATTTTAAAATATTCTTAATAAGTGGTTTTACAAAAAAACCCAAAACCCTAGTAAACACATATTCTTTATTTTCACCCTTAAATTACCCAGTTGTGCCTTCAGCTGCTGTATCTTGTTATAGCCCTATAAACTATTTTGAAATATTCTCAGCTTTTTTTCTCTCTACATCAGTAAAATGAAATGGTTGAGCATTTGCTTCTGAATTCTGAAAGCAGCGTGATATACTCCAGTAGCAAAATCCTGGTCACACTGACAGGTGAAATCAGTGACAAATTCCTACATTTTTTCTAGAAGTCAGCATTTAATTGGTTTCAAATTATAGTGTGCCCAAATAAAATAGGTCTAACAACTCATATCTATCAACTCAGTGATCTTGGAGGTGTTTCTCAACCTTAGTGATTCTCTGATGTTCATTATCACATCACTTCTAAACAATAACTTGTGCTTCTCTAAGATCATGTGGGTTCACTGATGAGAAGGTTGTGAGAAAGTGTCTTTTGGGGGGAACCAGCTGGAATGATGGCAAATGTTATCACACTTCTGTTCCACATTATCACCCTTGTAAAACAGCTGATTATGCCTCAGGTAATGAGGAAGAATTCAAATTTCAGTAGGTCTCTTTTTTAATAAAGAGTCATTTAGTTTTAAAAACAAAAATAATAATTTACTAAATAGGCTCTATTCCACCCTGAAAGATATTGCTTTCCAAAAGACAATGCGTTGATTTATTCACAAGAGTGAAATTCAGCACCGGCCTGCAGTCCCATTCAAACCCTCCAGGAGAAATTCAACCAGCTGCCTGCATAGCTTTTAGCTTCCTTTGGATGTTTTCAAAAATAAAACTGATTTAATAAGTTATTAATGAAAACAGTTTGGTGACTACTTTGTTAGAGTATTTATCCCATCCCCTGTTTTCTGTATTTATACAAAACCTGTAAATAAAACATATTCTTTTGGATCTCCCTATTTTATCTGTGTTTTCACACCATGTTCATCAGAAAATCTGAATGTGGGCTTTTATGAATCAGTATGAATGCCTAAATAAATAATGGTTTATTGCAAAACACGGACTTAATAATCAATTCATGAAGACTCTCAAGACTTTAGCCATATAAATATGCATGCAAAAGCTGAATGAACAGTCAACACCAGGGACTTTCTGCAACCAGAGAAAGACTGGAGTGCTCTCTCTCCCCGCTGTTCACAAGATGAGTGGAGGAGTCCGTGCTTGCAGAATGTGTTGAAGACCTGGCAGGATTGGGTGATAAAATACTTTGCTAAATTATATCTTACATCTGCAGAGACTTGTACTTCTCATCTCTTCTATCTTTTTTTAACTTCTGTTGTGTCTGCTTTAAATAAGAAAGATAATGGCTCATGAAAGGATGTGGAGTAGGGTGTAGGTTTAAGAAAGTCACAGAACAAAGTGTTTTGCCGGGTCTTTGAATTTCTTAAAATTAAGGAGTCTTTAGAAGCAGAGCTGTTCACCTTCACTCACAACCTTGGAGCTGCTCTATGGAAAACCTTCTGTGTTTGACAGGAAGAGATCTATCCCTGTTAGTCACTTTTAGTTAGGCTTAATCACTTAATCTTCCAGAAACGGTACCGCCGAACTGCAGCCTGCTCTCTCCAGGAATGGCTGCATGCCCTGTGCCCAGAGCTGTCTTTTTGTGTTACGTGTCACCGCAGACTTTAGCCAGAAAGGTTCTGAACTTGGAAAGGGAGCACGGAGTCACTGGCTAAGACACAGGGCCCCGAGCAAACTGGAGGGGGAGCTAGAAATAAACAATAAAATCAGCTACAGGGTAGGTACAAGAAACAATCACAGGCCAGCAGCCTATGGGGAAAGGACAAAGGAAACGGTATATAACCTTTTCTATATTTAATACCATTATTTCCAGAGAGATCTGGTATAGTAACCTTGTCTTTTTTATCCTTTTTTTTTTTTTTCTTTTTTTTTTTTTTTTTTTTCCCTGAATCACCAGTACAGGTACTCACAACAGGGGCAGCTGGAAGCACATCCCACAGTGCAGGGTAAGTAACGAAAAACTCAGCATAAGCTGGTTTAATAGGTTTTGTGGGTAGATTTCATGGCTTGTCCTAAACTCTGTCCTGCTGTAACTAGGCAGCTGTTTTTGGTATCTTTGCAAGTTATGGGTAGTTTGGGTTCAGATTTGCACCTTTTCACGAGGTGAGTGCATTATTTGTGTTGAACCAGAGATTAAGTGTGAATGTAAAAACTCAGCAGGAGCTGGGAAATGCTGCCTTTCACAGAAGAAAAGTGCAGTTGATCACTTTTAGGAAATAACCTGCAAGGTGGGAGGAAGTTCAGGGATGGCAGTGAGTTCAGAATTCAGTGGGGGCTGCAAGGATGGTGGGTCACCGATGCATGTCTAGGCAGATGCGCTCCCAGCCATGGAGGGGCCTGGGTGTGACATTCAAAATCTGTCCTCGTGTTATCTTTTACATCTGTGCCACTAATTGTTGACATGTTGACAGTGTTGACATTGCCCGCTACTGAAATGCAAACAAAAATACTCTAGAGATGCCATGGTTCTGTTGATAGTCAGAACTAGTTTGTTCCCAGTCAAAGAGGACTGGTGGAAGTGGAGAAGATGGGCAACCCTATGGAGATGTCTGACTTCTCTTTAGAGACATTGTGACATTAAAGGCACAGAGATCTAGAATGAGGTTCCTAATTTTTTTTCATGAAAAGAACAAATTCCTCACTGCCCTCACCTATAGGTGCCTCCTACATTTTTATCAGTATTAACATCCCTACTGCAAGTGCAGAGCTAGAAGAAGTAAAGACTCAAGTTTCTGCCTAATATATGGAAGTGATTTTCCTGGGTTAAACATATTGTAATCCACTCATTTGAAGTTTACAAGAATTTTTAGTGTGTAATTCTAGAAAGCCTGTACACAAATTTCCAAAGACAAAAAGTGACAGCAGCACAAATGTGATTTCAGGAACATATCATGATGACAAAGTTGGATGACTGTGGGGAACAGGCAAGGGCAGCAGTTAGGTGTGAATGTGACACTCAACACTCAGATGCTTGCAGTTCACTATTTGCTTTTATCAGAATCAGCAATCTCACAACTGCCTTTCTGTGTTAACTCCAGCCTGCCCCTGGCAGACCTGCATTAACCTTTGCTTATGGAGCCACGGCAGGACTCAAACAAATAAAAAAACATATTATGTCAGATTCTCCATTGGTGTAAATTAGCATCTCTCCACTGACTTTGAAGGAGTGGCACCTGCTTGCTCAAGTTGAGGATCTTACCCGGTGCTACTGTAGCATCATTAAGTTGTCACATTCTTCCCCTGCCTCTCCTTTTGTTGTCTAGCTGCAACTTTTCTGAGTTGAAGACTAGAGAAGGGTCTTTGATCCTCTGATAACTCCTTGAGGCTCCCTAGGATAATTGGCCAGGACACTTTCTGAATTATCCAGGGTCATTTTTTCTTGCCCTTTTACTTGGAGAGGGATTACAAGCAAGAGAAAAATCTTGGAGCCTTCACAGATGCAGACGACCTACACGAGTGCTGCCGTGTGTAGTAGGTCAGGCACTCCTCCTGACATGAGGGACACCCCATTGCCTCCAGGCTGTATTTAACCTATCCTGCTACTGATGTGGAAACAGAAGCCCTTCAGGGTGACCTGGGCCCTAAGACTGCCTAACTCTTTTTTCCAAGCACTCTGGGGGTGCTGAAAAAGGAAAGTATGTGAGCTGCTTTTCTGCTGATGGAGCTATTTACTCACTGCAACCAAGCAATATCTCCACATTCTATGAAGTTCTCATGGTAAGGCATTTTCTTCAGCTCTAACAATGAG